ATGCGGCGAAACCTCGCGTTGGGTTTCAGAGACATAGTTAGAAAATAATCTTAGCTTATCAGAAACGAATTTTCTGCGTCTTTCGAAGAAACGTATTCACCTTTGTCGTGACCCCGGCGATCCAAGTCTCTATAGCGTCATGACATTCACATGCACATTCAGCGACAACCAGACCAAAGGGATCAGTGCGAAGTCACCCCATCAACCGAGGATAGGAGACTGCTATGGTGCGATATGACAATCTGCCATGTGGCGTTGTCATCAGAAGCATTCTTCGGCCACCATCAGGTAATTGCGGCCACGCATTGCTTAGCATCAAGCGCACTTTCGAGTTGACCTTGTAGTGCTTGCTAACATCAAGAATACGTTAAGGACTACATGTCCTGCCTTAATCCTAACGTCAGTGGATATGGCACGAAACCTCATGTCACGGCAATACCTGAAACATGTCCACCAATAGTTAGCCATGCCATCTCCGGATGCAGCGGATCCAAGTGTTATCAGTTGAACGTTCCTTTGTTGTCAGGCCCGATACAGGTGTAACATGGGCGGACGATGTTCCGGTGCAGGCACGAATGGCTATTCAGTTACACCAATGTCTTTAGTTCGACCTGCTGAAAAACTCAATTTATCATCGGTACATTCTGATCTTTCATAACATCCTTCTATTTCCACCTTTGTGCTCATCCAGTTATCAAGAGACTTGAGTTTTCCGAAACAAGCAGCTGTCTTGGAGTCCTCGCACGCAGAGCGCCGACCAACATGGACTTTCCTATTCCCAGCATCCGCCTGTCAAGATACTCGTTGTTCCTGTCTGGGCCAATGTCCGAATCTCAGCAAGTGAAACATGGGCGCCTTCGCGGCAAACCAGGCAAATTATCTACTCGAAACGACGAGAGTTCTTTGGTCACCGTGCCTCTGACAACCCTGCCATATATCCCAGAAAAGGAAGATATCGTCTCATTCTTGAAAAAATGGCAACAGTGTGCAAGCGACCTTCGGAAACATCTACTATACCTGACAAGGAGGAATAGCCCATTGAGTCCTGAGATGAGACGGCTTCAATGGACTTGCGAACAAGTTTTGTGCCGCTGGGAAGCGTGTTTTCGACATGCATGTCCTGGCTTGGAAAGCCCCGTGGACTCGAACA